AGTTGCGTTTAGATATTGTTAATGCACTATATATCCATCTGACACTTTTTTATCACTCTTCTAGTTCATATGTGACCAAGCAAACACTATAATTGATTATAACTTCCATTTTAACTTCTAACTATTACTAAAATATCTTGATTGCTTCTAGCAATTGTTCAAGAATGTATTTTTCTTCAAACTTACTGCCATGCGAGTTTAGCCAGGAGAGTCTATAAATAATGGCTTAAGTTCTACTTTTAGTACCTCGCTGCTGCTTGTTTCGCCGTTTAGATGATGGAACCTTGGCACACCTCTCTACTCTGAGCATGTCTAGTCTGTTCATTGATAACAGGGTGACGTTATTATTGTAACAATCTTCAATATGAGATTGTTTAATCCGAATTGCGGTCATTATTGACCAAAACCGGTTAAACTCATGTCGCTACGTAGGGCAACAGAAATCTTTAGTAAAACTTGTTAAACATGTAGATGACATATCATATTTTTTGTTACGTGGCAGGAGGTTGACAATGCGCTCCGTGAAGCTGGGACAAATATGGTGCAACAAAGGAAGCATTATTGTTCTTTGAAAAAAAAAGGGTCCGGATAACGAGAAAGTACCGAAATCTGTACTAGGAAAAATAGAGAAAATGGGAAAAAAAGTAGGAAAAATGTACTTAGTGTGTCTTTCGATATGTAACATTAGTCATGACATTTGCGTTTGAACGCTAATCTCAAGACTGTATTCGATATTTGTGAGGCATTCTTCAGATACACAAACCTACAAGTAATGTGTGTCCTTGTCTAGCGTGTTCGATTGCTGTACACAGATGCCGGCTTAATCTCTGTCAAAACAGCATACTTTTGCATTTCACACGCGCTATTTCTTCTAGGAAAAGTTGTGGGTAACGATCACAGTCTTGAATCAGCCTTCCAACATGAGCATTCTGATGTAAAACATATTTAAAGGCCACACTCACCAATTCTCCTTCTCTTTTCAAGACGGCGTCCTAGCAGACTGGGGAGCACCTTGCTCTGGCTGTAATGTAACAGCAGACCCCCGAAGTAAGAGATGACATAAGCTTGTAGCGCGAAAGGGGGCCTACGAAGTCTACAAATCTTTCCCCCCCCCCTTCCGCCAGTGGCCCGGAACTTACGGTAGGCTCGAGCGAGTACGAAATGCATGCAAGGTAGACATGCAGAGTCGTTGCGAGACCCCGCGCGTATGACTGTGTGCGCTATAGTGCTCTGGCCTTGCAGTTCGAAATCGCGCGGACGGCATCGAGCCTACCATGAGATCCGGGCCACTTTTAGTTCAAATTTCAGGGTTGATAGACCCACTTTTTCGCTCCAAACTTCAGCCTTTGCTTAGGTAGAGAATTTTTCAACTCGCAACAAAAACCCAGCATCCATTTTTTTGCCGGGACGCTGCCTTCAAATAGCGCGTCCTACAAAGTGGTGTTTGAAGAAAGTGGAAGCTTTTTATATAAAATACATATCCGAAGTCAAACGTTTAATATATTATTCATAACTTCTGGTTTTTCCAACCGAATTGACTGTTTATATTTTCATATAAAGGAGTAAGTCATGTTCTTTATAATGACATCTTAGCTGCTTACTAATAATCATCTCTTGCACAGATAGGAGCGGTAGAGGAAAACTTGTCAAATTTCGAATTTTCTGTGTAGGGTCATGAAAAATCTGAAAATTGCAATAAAAATCGAGGCAGCCGATATTATAGGTTCTGTTAACAGCTCTTTCTAATTGTACAGAAATTGCGCCGATTGAGCGTTTCTATGAAAAGTTATGATTTTCGGGCAAGCAATGCAAAAGGGAGAATTTGATTTATTTTGGCATTCTTCAGGGAAATCATAATCTTTCATAGAGACGCTCAATCAGCGCAAACTTCGCACTGTTAGAAAAATCTGGTGAAGGAATCTACAACATCCACTGCTCCGATTTTCGTTGCAAGTTTCTGATTTTTTATGATCCTACACAGAAAATTCGAATTTTGACTAGTTTTCTTCTACCGCTCCTATCTATGCAAGAGATGACCATTAGTAAGCAGCTAAGATGTCATTATAAAGGGAATGACCCTCTCTTTGATATAAAAATACAACCAGTCAAATCGGTTGAAAAAATCAGAAGTTATGAATTTTTGAATTTGGTGCGAAAGAACTTTAGGGCCAACCTAATATTAGGTTGGCTAATAAATAAGTTCGGTTGCTTTTTCAGTTCTTACAAATGCTGTAGACAAATTTTTGTCCAATGTTTGGTATCTCTGAAAAGAGCACTTCACAGGGTATTGAAGCATATAGTCTTTTCGAGTAAAACTTATCTTCCCAAGAAAAATCAGCGAGAAACTGAAAAATCGCAATTTTCCCAAAATGCGCAAATATGAGGAAATTTGGTTTTTTTAGTAAAACATTTACAAAATGGCAGATCACAATTCTTTTTGTTGTTCACTAAATAGGGATAACTGCTCTGTATCCCAACACCCTGCTGTTCTGTACATCCATTACAGCATGAAAACGAAGCCCAAGAAGTCAAAGAATTGAGCTTCTGGAAAATTCGTCATGTTGAGGCATAACTGTCTTTACTGACGATAAAAATTTTGATTATTTGATATGTGATAGAGGAAGCCTTGATCTACTTTCCCACAAAGAATCATAGATTGAAAACAACAAGAAAATTTTTTATGACAATTTGTACGCTAAAACGAACTTACGTTTTAGTCAACCTAATATTTATCTGGGACACTCTACCTACATGTATGGTCGTTTTATGAGATACTCTGAACCTGTACAATGTTAGATTTTGCTACTTTGAGAAAAAGTTGGTTATAATTTCAAATCGAACTGCTGTTTTCGGTTGCTGAAAGAGGTTAACACGATTTTGCTAACAATGCCTCAATTCCATTTGAGGTTTTCATCACACCAGGGCCAAGGAGAGTGGAAACCTTGGCCTTCAGTCTCGAGGTATCAAATCTCGTTTTTCAAAAGCAAAATAGTTTAGGAATTATATGCTCCGGTCGTGCAGACGGCGATTGGTCGGTGAGGTCCAATGGGTGGGGCCCCTGACGTAACTTGGCGACAGCTAACTGGCTCCACACATCGCTGTCTGATTTCCGTTAACTGCTCGTCTGCCTTCTAAGATTGTAGCGCACAACATCCGAATAAATTTATGTCATTTTGGGATTCTGTGAAGCTCATGGTGTCGTATTTAAGTCTAAAAATGAAGGAGTACTCGAAATTTCAGCTCTGCTTGGTTAGTGGCCTTGAAAGCCCTGTGCTGTGCTACTGATTGAAGTTGTCTGTGTACAAGATCATTTTTTTCGGACAGCATCATTTTTAAGCATAAATTTTATGTAATCGAAAAGGTAAAACTCATTACTTATACACTGTTGGGACATTCCGATAGCAATTGCCATAGTTGCAATCTATAGAAACCATATTTGGCTGTCACATCGTAAACCACTATACTTCACCAAAGACAACTTTCTTATTGGATGGCATAGCTGGTTTTTTCCCTGTCTGATATCCTAAAACTTCTGCTCTCAAAAAACAAGTCGCATGTTAGACAAACAACTCATAACCTACAATCTCGTCAATTCTATGCTGACTACCTGTTACGAGAAGCACTTAGAAATAATATTCTGGTGTTTAGCAAAGAGAACACAATATTAAATTTTTTTTGAAACAATGATAAAGATAAACGGGGCCTTTGATTTCTTTACCTCATTCCTATTGATGGTGCATCATTACACGTAGGCAACTCACTACATGCAAGTCAAGACGACTTTCTTCACAGAATCGTTTCCAAATCTGTGAAACGATTCTGTGAAGAAAGTCGTCCTGACTTGCATGTAGTGAGTCGCCTACGTGTAATGATGCACCATCAATAGGAATGTTGGTAAGGAAGTCAAAGGCCCCGTCCACCCAAAATCTCGATTTTCATGTTTTTGTCATTCCGGAGCCTTTAAGTGTCCTTGGTTCAGAGAGTCGAGAATACGCGAAAACCCCGACAATCCCTGTTTCGAGAAGCCGCAGGGCGAGTTTTCCAAACGGTGATTGGGGGTGCGACGATGTTATTTTCTGCAGGTAGAACACCCTATTTTCAACCGAACGTTTCAGGAGAGTACTGCATTGCAAGAATCTTGCTGCATTTTCGTTTCTTCTACACAAGAATTAGCGTTTTGTTTTCCTGACCTCCTCCTCTTCTCCTTGTTTTACGGCACCATCGCCGGCTGTAAGGTTCTCATAAGGAGCGATCAGATGAGATGTGGTTACACCGACTGCTGCTAGTACGAGCTCTGACTATGCCCACTTGCCACATGTTTTTCTCAAGCGATTTCTCCCATCGCACGGGTGGTCAGAATTCAAGATCTATCATCCACAGCGGTCCAAAAAATTTAACTCAGCTTTATCTTATCTAGTTCTCCCTACACTTCTTACATTTTGAATCGCTGGAGTTGCTGGTGTACCTATCATAGCGAACTTTCTTAGAAGCATTCAAATAGCGTCAGGATCAAGCCTCCTTACATCGTTTGCGGTCATTATTCAAAAGAAGTTATAATGACCAACCAGATTTGAAAGCATCACCCTCCAAAATTAATTAGTGCGGACACGATTCCGTCTAAATTTTGTCCGCACAGTTTAAAGTGCATGTGATGAAAAATAGAATTACGTAAGATGTGTCTAAAAACTTTTATCTTTGATGCTGTCAACACTGCTTCTCGAATGTCTACTGAATATTTGCTATCATCAACTGATTTGACTTAGTCATTATTGTTGTAAAAAAAAGTATTGCATAATGACGTGCAATCGAAACAGGGTTAGGGGAGTGAGTTTCCTAGGGACGCAGTAGAAAACGATAAGCTTGACAAAAAGTTTTTTTTTTGCGGACTGTACCTGACTAAGAAATCTCTTGATTGCGAAGTCGCATTAACTCGTGGTGGAAGGAATTCGCAAACATTTATCCAGAACTACATTTTTCAAATTAACAAAATGTATTTTCAGAATTGCTACCCACTAAACTCGCAGGTCAGATTCATTTGGAGCTCAAAAGGTGCGCTACTGATTTTCCTGATAACAGTGTACTTCAATACTTTTCAACTCCAAGTACATAGCGATTTATACATCTTATTAGGTTTTTACGCCGATCATAGCAAGGTTTTCGTACAGAATGTCCCTGGCTTTTTCGAATGCGTCCCCTTTATGATGTTAACTTCCAATGGGTTTCCATCCCATGGTGGGCGGGCCAGAGAATACAGGAGATGAGCGTTGCTTCCGCGTTGAAATTTCGGGGGTTAGAAGTGGCAGAGAAAGATCGGACTTTGGCCGATAGGTTCCATATGGGGGCTCCTACCCTGTGACCTTGTTTTGTCACGGGTCTCATTCTGCCGATCTACTGCCTTCAAAGGCAGTGTCCGAACAAAAAGTCGATTTTGAGATTTTGTGCTTATCAGGACCTATAGCTGAATCCGAAAATCCAAACATCAACAACAAGAGCTGAATGCATAATAATAACTGAAGACCATTTGCCCTTTCCATCTTATGTGAGCACTAGCCCCACCCATATAAAGACGATACACACGAGGTACACTCAGTGCCGTTCGTCTACAAATCAGTGTGCGGCTACCGTCCAGTACTTCGGTGCGGACTACTAACATCGGTATTGCGATAAGTCAAGTCAAGGCTTGGCTTCTTTTTTTTTAAGTCTGTATGTTGTGCATAGGACAACGTCTGGACTCGATGAGTATGCAAATGGTGTTTGGCGGCGTGGTCTCACAAATCAAAACTGCAGTCTTCTTTCAGGCCTCTGACGAAGACGAAGCGTGTCGAAACGTAAGGCAATAAAAGATTTACCGTAAAAATTTAGGCTCGGCAAAGCAATCGGTACATTTAAAAAATTCTTCCTAATTTGTGGACACGTGGTATGTAGTAAAACAATTTTTGCGATGATTCAAATGTGTACACATTAGATGTCTACACATTAGGTGGACCGAGAGAGGGAAGGCGTGGAAGTAGAGTCCATTCCTAGAAGGTTGCAAATTTTTTGAAATTACCTACACGGGTCACAAGCTTGTGCAAGTTTGTCTCATTAAATTGTTTCTAAGAAAATTTAAAAACTCGAAGTAATTTTGCAAGCCTCTTTGCCAGAAAATGCGGAGATGCAGGTACTCTAAAAAGTTGGAAAGCGTTTGAAATATTTCTTCAAGCTCGCACTCAAGGCCACGTCCTTCATTCAGAAAAAATCTGCTTCTCCTCAGGGGCCAGAAAGGAAAAATTCCCACACCCCCATTGCTACACATACACATTACTCCACTACATGTGTCAAAGGCCGCATGCGGCAAATCCGCTCGGAGGAAGCAAAAGGCAGCGTACAAAAGCTATAGAGGAGCAGACTTTATGTATCAAAGGCAGCAGATTCTCAGCTTAAAGTTTTTTTTGGTTACCTGGAGTAATTAGAGGGCTGATCTCGAAAATTGACTTTAAAGTGCGCGAAAATGGCAAAAAACCACCATTTTCCAAGGCCTCCTATTTTGAATTTGGAGCGTTCGCCATGGTTAGAGAGGCAGAACCGTTGCGGGACCTTTGCAATTGTAACATTACGGCATGCCTTCTCTGACAGGTCAGGGAGAATAGCAAGCTCGTGCGCGCGTACTAGAGTGGCTTGCGTGTAACGGGTTTATGGGCAGTTTGCTAAGCAAGGGGCAGCATGCTGTGCGCTCGGACCTGCTCTGTTCTCATTTTGGGGTGCAAGCAACCTCCCATGTCAAAATTTCAGGATGTTCGGTTTTGGGGAGCTGCTGCCTTCAAGGCACTATCTCGCCGGATTCGGTGCAGACATATCGGCTTTTCCTAGATTTCATTAGGAAAGGCCCACTGATTATGCCAATGCCCAAGTACCATCAATAATTGCCTCCTTTACGCTGAGAAAATTGTGCTTAAAGGTCCATAGCACGCATTTCGGCGTGCGCTGGACGATGTCCGTTTCTTCGCGTTATGTCTTTTCAAGCGACGCCATCCTCCTTAAGTGTTAGCACTGGAAGTCAAAGCTCAGAGAGAGCGAGATAGCTTGCCCATATTGCATTTAAGGCGTCAAAGAACGAGGATGCTTGAATTTTTGAATAAAAATGCGGGAAGTCTTGTAATTTGCAAATCTCCGGAAACCTTATTTTTGATAAGACAATGCTTCAAATGTTTTCCTTATCCTCAACTATAAGCATATTGAAATATATAGTTGCACGAACCATTTACAGCTCTTCTCATAGTCTCTCGACCATTTCAGCGGCTTTCCGTTTTTTCTTTATTTTTTTGGAAATGCTGAAAACGTTCCAAAGTTGTGCTGCTTTCTATCTAACATTTTAAGTATGTAGCTTCCAGGTTTCCTCTTTCGTAAGCCTCGGCATTGTTTGTATATGTGTGAGTATGTTAGTAAGCCGACCGAGGTTAGTAGATGTTTATTGTTAGTAGCGGCCTGACGTTTCGACGTGTCCGTCTTCTTCAGAGGCCTAAAGTGGTAAGAGATTTGATTTATGTCCTACCCCACCACAAACCTCCTCCATATCCGACCAGCCTCGACTTTACCCCCCCCCCCCCCCCCCAAAGTGTTACAAGCAAAAATTTAAATTTTAAGTATGTTTGTGATGAAAATAACCGTGTCCTTTGTTGAGATCTTTAATAGCCAAGGTTGAAGCTGGATTCACACGATTTTCATTACTGCAATCTTTCTTCTTACCAGAAGAATACTTCTTGCTGCTAGTCTGGATATGTAGAACAACAAGTTATAGACAGTTTCTTTATCTTTCTTTGCCGTACAGGTTTGTTATGGTAGGTACCTTATTGCCTTACGTTTGAAGGTTTCAAGATAGAAAGACTTACAACATAGAGCGACATGTTTTTTCAAGTCAAAGAAAGTAAAGTAACTTTAAAAAAGACTTTGTGGCTGCTGGGGACCATCAGGAATTCAAAAAGAGCAAAAGGTTCCCTATGCAACACCGCGCTTCCGGTCATAATGTTTGTAGTGAAGGGCAGCGCAAAAAATCTATGAATGATGTTAAAATCTCTGACCTTTAAAAGAGGACCTCTCTTTTGAAGCTGCGCTCCGATTTCCGGGGAAAATGTTTATGCATGCTATTTTAGAAAGAAAAGAAAATGTTGTCTTCTGATAAGCAACCCAAAAGCAAACATGTTGTAAAATGGCGGTATAGCTGTAGTACACATATTGAGCTCTTAATGACTTGACCATGTGTGATGGGACTGTCATAAAGCATACAGATTACATTTTATCGAATGTGCGTGTTTCGCGACTAATCGAGTATCTGCTTACTGTAAAGTGACGAAGAAGCAGATCCAATAACTGGATGCAGTAGCAATCCTTGTATCGCGTCAATTTGATAACTTTGATAATGTCAATTTTATTCAACAGCGGCCTTGCAATATGTGTGAAATTTACTGAACTGGTTGGAAGACTCAAAACCTTATTTTGCAAAAGACGTCGTCCGCTTCAGGCAATGTCAATAAATAAGAGTATGTCGAATGGAAATGAATCACGCATGGACTGTAAGAAAAGCGTCGACAAAGTGACAACTGCAGAACTTGCCAAACTCACCTGTTCGATTTAGTCAGCCTCCCAGTGTCCTCTTTCACGCAGAGACAAAGTTGTTGACCCTGCAGCACTTAAAGGCAGCGTCCACCCAGAATTTGGCCCCCCATGTTTTCGTCATTCTAGGGCCTTTCCGTGGCCCTGATTACAGTTCCGAGCTTCAAACTCTTTGAAATTCACAAAAAAACCCGATTCTTGGGGACCCAGTTTTGAGGGCGTGGACGAGTTTGGAATTGCTCGTCCCCGTCGGCAGGCCAGCGGGAAGGAGCTGCAACTGCATGAGTGCAGTTGCATTGCAGTGTGCAGTGTGCAGCTTCTGCTCACTACCTTGTCAATACGTGTCGGGAGGCACGTATTGACAAGGTAGTGAGCAGTCCCTGATGGGCGGAGTCTGATATCAGACTCCGCCCAGCCAGGGACTTTCAGGCTCCTTATCTCCATTCAGTGACAACGTTAGAAGACCGAACCAACGCAGATGCCCCTTTTCTGGGGCCTACAGTCAGAATCGACACTAATCGGAGGGAATTGGGTTTAGCCTGGACACTGCCTTTAACGCTCATCAAAAGGCTCTTGAGTAAAGTTTTCGGAGTGTATTTGATGTCCGCGTATCACATGGTGACTCAAAGAAATCGTTTTAGTGAAAAACTATAGCAATGCACATTAGCCTTATTGATGCGAAATGGGATTCAGACTGCTTATCTGCATTTACAGAGCTACGCTATTATTTAGATATATGGCAAATGGAGTCACTCTAGGCTTAGCATAGGTGACCTTCACGCAGTCCGCATTTCGTTTTACAAAGGAAGGGGAAGAAATTTTTTGAAGAATTAGTTGAGAATTACGAAAAGGTTATTGAGCAAAAATAAATTTTCACAGTTCAAACAGAACAAAACTTGATAAAGCTGGTCAACTTCAAGCCCATTCGTCCAACATTCTTTACCCTGAACAAAGCTCTCATGATGCCACTGTCACATAATTCGGGTGTATGTCAAGAGGAGCGATTTTTTTTGTCAGATGGAAAGCAGGCAACACATAATTAGTGTTTTATAGAGTTTTTGAATACCTTGAAATTTTAAAAGAGATGTAATGGGCAACTGCACGGATTGTCCATCTTAACACCTTGAAAATCGATTCCAAACAATTTGGTGAAGGTCAAAAACCCATGAAAATTCGGTTAATAGCGATTTTGTAAACATTCCGGTCAATTTTCCAGAAAAAAGTCGTCAAACTTACAGCCAATGGGCTCCATAGCACAAAATTGGAGTTCTAAGTTGGTAACAGGCGGAAAATTCGCGCCTCTTGACCGTCTCCCACACAATTCTAGTACATGCTCATCATCTCTAACGCTTCATCTTTGTAGATGTTTATCGTGGTCATTGCCGCCTTAACATCCCCATTCTCTGTACAACCAACAACCAACTTTGAGCTCTAATATGCTCGCAATGAAAGCACAAAAAGCGTCTCAAAAACATTGGGGGGGGGGATAGAAAGAACAGCCGATGATACGACACCAAATTTGAAATGTGTTGGGTTTTTTCAAAAGTTCTACCCGTTTTCGAACTTTGAATTTGATTTACCGTAACTCTTCTTAGAAATGATTTTTCCAATTGCTGTAAACTGTATTACAATCTGCAAATCTTTGGCTCTGCGCACTATTCAAGATTATTGCAGTAACAGTGGAGAAAATTTTATAAGCGAAAATCGAGGAACATTTTCTTGTAGTAACCTTCACTTTGCAATAGCATAACTTGATTTGGAATATAGCTGAGTTGCACAAGACTGCTCACAGTGTAGCCCATGGTAAACTGAGCAGTACCAACTTTGAATTTCATCAAACTCTTTTATAAGAATTTTGTGCTGAAAAATCCGAAAAAACCCAATTATTTTGCTCTTTTTAAGGCGGCAAAAAATGCAACTTTTTTGACATTTTGGATTTTGTTCGCAGTTGACAAATCAGGAAATCTTTTCGTTCTTCTAGTGGCGTTGTTCCAGTTCTAATCTTACTATATAGAGTAAGAGTTCCGCGATTGCAATATGTTTATGATTTTTATGCGACTTGAAGTGACCATAAAGACAGGTTATGTTTGAGATAAAAATTTGTAGGTTCAAATTTTTTTTCAAATTATATCTCGATGAGCGTTTCGTAGCACAAGCCTCCAGCAAACATTATGCACGTTTTAAAAGAAATTCTTTTCTTTTGGCTGTAGATTTTACGGCGATAGAGCAAATACGAATATTTTCACATTTGTTTCGCTGTCTTTTCAAAGTACGCAACCACACAGCGAATAAAGATCTAAAAACACCAAAATATGCCTGAAAAACTAGAATAGAATACTTTTGGATGATATAAGCAATATTTATGAGAAATGGTTTCTTCCTCCAAGATCGGCAGTTCAAAAAAAGGTACCGAAAACGGATAGAATTTTTGAAACAACCCAATACATATCTATGCGATGGAATGGGAATGATGGTTGTATGACATGCAATCTATGTACATCAAAGGAGCCGTACACTTTTTTCAGAGTTAGGTGGCCTCGGGTCATCTGGCTAGCCACATAATGATGCGCAGAGCAAACAGAATCATAATTTTTCTCTTCTTCAGATATACATTCATCATTATGACCTATCATTATGACCTTTACATAACCTTCTTCTACACCATAAGTTTCAAAATTTGTTTTTTGATCACCTCAGGGCCCTTCCCATCCTGTGTCCACCTCATACCGAGCCTTTAGATCAACAGACGTAGGTTCCTTTGCTGACCAAAGGCGATATAAATACAGAAATTAATGAAATTGAAGCTAGTGTCCCCGCAGGTATAGAGGCTATGAACTTGCTATGAAAAACAGTCTTGACCATTTCATCACTCATCGCCACGGTGCGAAGTCGTAAGCTACAACGAGAGAAAAAGTAGTTAGAAGCACCGTCCATTGTGTGTTGGGGGGGGGGGGTAATGAGCTTTTAACAGCTTACGATATAGGACTTTCTAATGAAGTTAGAGGCAGCCTCGGCTGACTCTCGACTTGAAGTTTTTTTGCTTACCTAGGATAATTCGAGGCGCTGATACCATGAAGAGAGCGAAAATGGCAAAAGCACCATTTTCCAAGGCCTTCATTCTGAATTTGGACGAGTGAAGCACGTCCCGCCATGGTTAGAGAGGCAGAATCATGCAGGGCCTCTCGCAATTATAACATTGCGGCATGCCTTCTCTGACGGGTCAAGAAGAATCAAGCTCGTCCGCGCGTATTAGAATGGCTTGCGCGTAACGGGTTTAAGGGCAGTTTTCTAAGCAAGGGCAGCATGCTGTGCGCTCGGACCTGCTCGGTTCTCATGGGGGGGGGGGGGGGGGGTAGGGGGAGGGCAAGCAACCTTTCATGTCAAAAATTCGAGATGTTTGGTCTTGGCGAGCCGCTGCCTCTAATGCCCAAGTCGTTGCTTCGGAATGGCGAAAAGGCATGAGGACCCCAAGCATTACTGGAGGAATTTGGCGCCGACTGCCTCCAGTAATGCTTGCCCATCCGTGCGCGTCCAGCCACCATTCTGGAGAACCGGCCTTCGGATTCTTAGGCAGGGGTTGTCGGGGTTTTCGCGGATACTTGAGATCATATTCGGAACATGAGAAGGACCCGGAACAACCAAAACGTGAAAGTCGAGAATTTGGGTGGACGGTGCCTTCAAGCATTAGGGACTTGCGTTCTTATAATATCGCTTTCATATGAATTTACTTCATTGTTGGACATTGCATACCCCCAGTTGAAAGGATAGAACCTTTAGCAATATCATGTATTAGGCTTAGCCAGGACGTTCCCACTTGTCCGGACTCTGCACGCCAGTTGTAGCTTTTCATGTGTATTTCCAAACCTTGCGCAAGGATAAGCTCAGATAAGCGAAAAACCTAAAAGTTGTGTTTCTGCCCGGACACTGCCTTCAACTGCAACAATTGCAAAGAATTAGCTGAAACGGTGCTTGTTCTTCTGTATATTATGTACAGATTACAAAGTGAAAAATTTCTCTCCTTCATGATAATAGTAAAATCTGGCAGGATAGCTGATAATTTGGCTAATCAAAAATTTTCGACCAATGCCGTATCATTTGAGATATAGTCCATTTTTCGTTTACAAATTTTTGGAAGCACATCATCACTAAAGCATGGGGTCCTGCTCCAATATCTCTCTTAGAGAATTGTGAAAATTTAAGATGTTTGGAAAACGAGTTCTGAAATATCTGAAAGGGGTAAATCATCAACTTCAGTGATAATCAATGGTAAGATTATTGTAAAATAGCGGCGTTACAGAAACACTCATTTTACTCTATTTTCGGCTGTAAAAGGTTAGAAGGATCAGTGGATTTTTTTGTGACTTTGGTTTCTTTTATACAGCCTATCTTTTTAGAAAACTTGTTGATAGGATTTCTCTTTTTCTTTTCTTTCGGATAAGCATATAAACACATCAAACACACATTTATAATAAAAATCACATCCTCTTTCGAGACAAAAATCTTTCATCATTTGTTGGTGTAAGCTTTTTAATGAAAAAGGACACCTTCGATGCTTTTCCTATCCTTTTGAAGATTACTCTCGTATATTAACAGCTAAGCCTATTACGTATCGCCTCATTCTTTTCAAGTTTTCTTTTCACAAAAAGTTAATTTCTTTTAAATTATTGTTCTAGTGTTGGTAATGCGTGTAAATTGTTTTTAGAAACTAGTGGGCACCATCAAACCTCAAAATGTTGCCGAGAAATTATTCTCCAATGGAGCTTCTCAACACCGAGTTCGTAGGGAAGATTACACACGGGAGAGTCGCAAAATTACTGAGTTAGTACTGAATGATTTTATATAGACTATAGTTGCAACCACGGTAAACTCTGATTACAGGTTCAAAGATAGTTTATGTTTGTGCACTGCTCGTTATTGTAACAACTTGTGGAGCAGCTGTGGGTCTTATCACTGCAAAAGAACGACCAAAAGAAAAAGAATCAGGTTAGGCAAATTTTTGTATAATAATTTTTAAATTATTATACAAATTTAACAATTTCTAAAAGTAGCTGCAGTTGTATACACATGTCTCTTCTTTTATCAACCATGTAATTCAGCAGTTTTATCACAGTTTTCTTACTACACATATGCGAAAGTATGGTAAAGGAGCTGGCATCAGTAAAAGTAACAATGCTGTATAAGGATAAGAGCATTGAACGGATTAGAAAAGTTGAACAAGCAGAAATTTTGATGACATAGAGGAGATTAAATCTCACTCCTACTTGAACATGCTGTAACTTATTTATCACTTAAAGGATATGCGTGTAGAGGGTGTGTAGCGAGCCGCACGACCGCAATGCTTTCCCCATAGGACCAACGCCGCGCGTGACACACCGTTCAGCTGCTCAGACACTCGCGGTTGACTCGCGCAGGGCAAAACGAGGTGTAGCCATTGAATGCGTGGGCGACTCGCGAAATCGGTGTCGCGGCAAAATCAGGACACCTGATTTTGTGTCGCGGCAAAAGTGCGCGGCAAAATCGGGGCAAAATCAGGACACCTGCGCGAGACACCAAAATGTGTTCAGAGCATGTGGCCTATGCCCTTACTGACAGCTTTTTGCGTCCTCTAAGCCCTCTCTCACGCCTTCCTTTTGACTTACCTTGAGTCCTTGGTCACGTTGGGTCCCGTTTCCCACGCTTGTTTCTTTTCTGCTGATAAACCCAGTCTTACGTCATAAAATTTATTAGCAAATACCACATGATCTTCTCGGGTAGCGTTTACAATAACATCGAAATGAGACAGGAATCAAAGCACCGCAATCACGACACAAGGTTACGAAAGAACTACGGTTAAGAATGACAACAGCATTAATTTTCTACAACTACTTCATCTCCATCTTCAAAGTTTTCAGTCTTCTGGATCGTTACGCCTTCTTTGGTAACACTGCTGCCTTCGACCATAACGCGCTTTTTTTGGAAATAAAAAATTATTGTTACCAGGATCGTATAAAGCAAACGAATTACCTTTGATGGAAGGAGCATGGACCTATCAGGGTCAAAATGATACCTCCGGATGTCTTCCCTGCAAAAATATAGTTCAGAAGTATCGCTTTCCTTATGAGAAAACTCACAAAGCTCTCCCAATTGCTATCCTCGCCTTACCGCTCCATACTACTCTTTCCTCTGAGAGGACGTCGAATAATTTTTCGCGAGCGTCGTCATCGGCTAAGTCCAACCATCACCTAAATTCTAGTGCACATGAAGGTCTTTCGAGAACATACATACTTATTTGGATTCCGTTTATGCTCATCTGGCGTCCGCAGAAGTTGGTCGCGGTGTAGGCCAAGGGCATCAAGGATGAAACCTAAATCAGTTATTGAAAGTAGTGTACTCAAACACACATTGACCCACTTATTAAGAAATCAACTAATCCTTCCGGGAGGTCCTTCTCAAAAATCTCAAAGAACTCACTTTTCTTCTTTACTGGACCGAGGAATCTATCTACGTGAGCCCAATAAGAATCGCACCTCGCGCGATCCAGAGCCTTAACCTCTTCTTCAGATGGTGGAGATGTTCTTTTCTCGTTTTGGGAATAAGTGCGCTGAAACAAGTGCAAGGTCAAAACAATGACGCAAGAATTTTTTTGATGAAAAGTTTCAAAGAATCTACCTGTGGCCTTGTGACCTGTGTATGTCTCGTAAGCCACCAATTTGTTCCCAACTGCTTACATCCTTTCACCATCTTCACTCTCTATGTACAATGACCACTCTTCGGCTATGGCAATCTAGATCAAGAAGTATTTCCCAATGTCCATGCACATGTTCTTTTCTCTGAATGCCATACTTGTTTGCACGCGAAATTCAATTGATAATATTAGGTTACAAGTCTTGCTACACATCAAATTTTTCTAGGTAAATTCCGAATTCCGGCTAAGCCAACTGTCAGAAATGATGACGTGCGGGATGAACAATGTGCATAAACTCTTTCATCTTCCTCAAATGAGGATTGAGTACAAATCACTGAAAAAAAGGCGAGAGTCAAATGAGTGATTTTTTTAAACTCGTGAGATGCGGTACGATAAATGTGAGCTATGCCAGGTAAATTTTGAACTGGAATTGTGTACTCTAAATAATATGGAACTGGAACCGGCAATATTTATGCCAGTTTTTGCACAGAGTTGAACCGTAGATGACATTCTTCATGTGATGAAAAATCTGCTTTAAGAAGTTCAGGAAAAGCATTACAAGCAACCGCAGTTCAAAAAGAAATGACTGCTGTCTTGTAAGCTCATACCATTTCAAGAAATGAGCAACCGCAAAAGAAGAACATTACTTTCTCAGTTTCATAAATAAAAACATGCCTTCTCATTCAGCTCTTGCACGGCCGGAAGATCACTATCCACTTGTGGATCGACATTCTCGCGGCTTTCATCATTGTCATTAACCTTCTCTTCTTCCTCTTCTATAATATCCTGGAATGAGCTTATATCATAGGTGAATCATGGTAATCATAATGCGGAACCTCCTCAAGAACAGGGTTATGCTTGAGTCGGCGTTCCCTTCTTGGCTTCGGGGATCGCAACGCAAAATCGTCATCCCATTCGTCTTCGTAAAAGCGCTTGAAAATCAAAATAGTACACGTTAGCATAAATACTCAAAGTCCAGTAATCAGCTAAAGTAAGCAAGCAAAACAATCTAAGAATGAACAATAACTTCTAGAAAGAGAGAAAAAGGGTTCACCTTTACTTCCGGATGATGATCAACGCAGATAATGGCCGTGTGATCAGAAGGACGCGTTCGGAATGAGCGTCTCAAGCTGACTCTCTTTGGTCTAAGCCTGGTTTTTATCGGCATGGAACGTCTCTGGAAAGACATGCTTTGCTAAGTATGATTCATCTAAGAAAAAAAAATAAATGCAACAAATGCAGGGAAGAATTGATCAATACGTCGACGTATAGGTGCGTTATTTCGAAATCTCCTCGCCCGTCGCGACAAAATCGCACTAAAATCGGGGCGAAACTAAAACGATGACTCGCACCGGTCCACCGGATTTTGCTGCGAACGCCCATTTTGTGGGCGGATCCCCTGCGCGACTCAACCGCGAGTCTGAGTGCTTTTGCCTAAGCAAAGCACGGGGGAAGGGAAGGTTTGACGCATGCGTGGCATGTTTAGGCAAGTCCTCCGGTTAATGTTAAAGGCCGCTTGCACTAAAGGACCGCCTCCGAGTGTAGGCGACTATGAAGGAAAGTTTGGAAACTTAGTGCACGTAATCGTGCAGCAGAGACCGATAGTAAGGAGAAAACTGCTTGAAGTGAATAATATATAATACTTGACTACGAGCAGAAAAATTAGAAGAAGGCTTCTTACCGCCAAACTGCTGTAAAAAATGCGTTCTGCTCTGCCTTTGAACGCTGGCTAATATCATACACACTCTGCATGAAAGGGCCTTCAGTTTAGCTATGACTCATTCATTCTTGTCCACAAGAGAATCTGCCTGGTTGAGATGATTTGACAGCATTTTAATTCAATTGATAAAATAGAAACTTTAAATTTATAAACCGGCTAATCACAGTAGCTTCCTCAACGAAGTTGAAGTAGTCTTGACTAGCTCTAGATCTGATTACTTCTTATTCAGAGCGCGTTGTTTTTTAAAATAACCTTCCTACGAAAAATGAAAGTGGAAATCACGCGCCTTTTTCAAATTTTCTTGGCCATGGGCCCGCAAATAATTTGGTAACTATCCCAACAAATTTTCGAAATGCGTACTCAACGCCACGTTCTTGCTCTGAAATTTTCTTGTCACGCCCCGAAAAGAGAATTTGGGACCGCAACCGCCCATATAGTAAGGACTATATACTCAAGCAGAACAGACGAAATTTTACATGTCAATTTTTTAATCTTGTCTCGTCTCAACAGGCAGTTTCCAGAAAGTGGAGGCCTCAGATAAAGCGCTTGCTTCAAAATTATGCGTGAGGATCAAATGCAAGCTAAGAATGGCAGGACAGAGCACGAGCCGTCAGGCATTTTCGTCATCCTTTTCAAATTCAAAAGTAAATTTTCTCTCGTTTTAACACCATTTTTACAGAATTATGGCTCTACTAGCAATATCGCAATCCTTCTCGTCTCAAACTTTGCTAGGCCAATTTACGCATGCAATTGCAAGATATAAAGCGAGAAATGTTCAAAATTAACTCTTAGATTGAGTCTGAAAGCGGAGAGTAAGAGTTTTGTAGCAATTTTCGGCATGCTTTAATATAAATGCAGACACAATTAATAGCCAGATTATATACCTTTCGATTCAACTGACTTGGCAGCCGGAAGGCAGGGCTTCTTTATCTAATTAAGGCTAGGTAATGATCAGAGTGCAAGAGCGTGGGAGAGACGCAGACAGCGTAGCGGGCGCGAGCAGTCGAAATTTTTTTTCAAAGTTTTGAGTTTCGAGTCTACTAAACGCCAAAATCAAATGATAAAAAAGAGCACCAGAGATCCCGTAAATTGTAACCCAGCTAAAATTTGGAGCCGAAAATCAAAAATTTTTAATTACGCCAAAAATTGGATCTCCTTCCAGAAAATTCCTACGGAACTATAGCTTGGTCAGTATATAACTAGTTGCATAGTAATATCTGAAGATGTATTTGGTGGATTTTTCTGAGGCTCAAAATTGAGAAATAATTGGCTCGAAAATGCAACAGTGTCACTTTTTCGGGTTTTTTTAAATGTGAGACTTGATATTTCTCGATTACCAAAGCACAAACATAGATAAAATTAAGGCTATACTAACTAAGGTTGTAGAATACAATAATTTGTGTAGGAAGGGCCGAGGGCAAATTCAAGACTATTCCTTTGCTTTCCAAACACGGAAAAAATCCAGCAAAGGTACATTTGAGCGCTGCTGTGTCTGCTGTATAACGACCAAGTTTGAAGTCTGTAGGATTTTCCTTCGCAAAAAGCCAGTTTTCATCTTGATGAAGTTTTCTCCAATTTTTGCTTCAAACTCTACCCGGATTACGACTCGGGCGGATTTTTGGTAGTCATTTCGTAAAGGCTTCGCTCTATCGAATGGTATCCTAAATCTGCTGGGAAAACAAAAACAGATTGATTCGTTCAAGAATGTTACTTTTGGGACAGCCTAATACAATCAAAACCTGGCATACAACTTACCATACATTTAAAATTGCAATATGAACTTACAGTTCCAAATATTCTCTACTTTTCTTGCCACAAGCCCTTGAATCTCTGTGAACACACCCTTCATGGCAGTAAAGATAAAATTGTTTTGAAAGCTGCAATCAAATTGAAGACTTGGATCTAAAGTTTTGCAAAACTGTCGAAATGTCCCAGTCAGAATCTCGAAGACGTCAAAAAACGAATTCAAAGCTGTACTTGTACCTTCAGTAAAGAGCAGCGATTGGCGGTTTGATTTGCACTTCTGCAGAGTAAATTAACTTTACAATACAGTGAAGATTTTCGAAACCACTGGCTCAATAAAATTGCTGCATTGTTCGCTTTAAAATTACTACTTAAGACTGCACATACCAAATTGTAATTTTTTGGGAGATAACGAGTGTTAAATTATATGTGCAAAATTGGATTCGAAAACGACAGTAATTAACAAACATCACGCTGCAATAACAGGCTTTAAAAGTTTTTAGACACCTTGTAAATTTCTGCTCATTTATATAACTAAGGACAAAAACTTGAGAGCCTTATTTTGATTTAAAAAAGACGAAGAAGGATATTTAACTTTGATTTACTCGGCATTGTCGTTATGTCAAAGCTAAAGAAGCTTGCTTTCAGTATCAACATCAGCCACTTCCTGGACAAGACCAACACGCTACCCTGATCCTTCGAGGCCAACGGTGACTGTACCTGATCACCCTTCGCGAACAGGGCCAACACGTCACCCTAACCCTTCAGAACGAACATATCGACCTGATCCTTCGGGGCCAACACGTCAACCTGATGTTTCGGGATCAACACACGAACCGGGACCCTCCGGAAGAACACGTGAACCTGATCCTTCGGGACCAACTGTGACTGGATCTGATCACTCTTCGCGAACAAACCCAACAGCTTACCCTGATCCTACGGGACCAACACGTAGACCTGGTCCTTACCCTGATCCTTCGGAACCAACAGATCAACCTGATCCTCCAGTGCCAACAGATCAACCTGATCCTTCGGGACCAACACGTCAACCTGACGTTTCGGGATCAACACACGAACCAGGACCCTCGGGAAGAACACATGAACCTGATCCTTCGGGACCAACACCTCAACCTGACGTTTCGGGATCAACACACGAACCAGGACCCTCGGGAAGAACACATGAACCTGATCCTTCGGGACCAACACCTCAACCTGACGTTTCGGGATCAACACACGAACCAGGACCCTCGGGAAGAACACATGAACCTGATCCTTCGGGACCAACACCTCAACCTGACGTTTCGGGATCAACACACGAACCAGGACCCTCGGGAAGAACACATGAACCTGATCCTTCGGGACCAACACCTCAACCTGACGTTTCGGGATCAACACACGAACCAGGACCCTCGGGAAGAACACATGAACCTGATCCTTCGGGACCAACACCTCAACCTGACGTTTCGGGATCAACACACGAACCAGGACCCTCGGGAAGAACACATGAACCTGATCCTTCGGGACCAACACCTCAACCTGACGTTTCGGGATCAACACACGAACCAGGACCCTCGGGAAGAACACATGAACCTGATCCTTCGGGACCAACACCTCAACCTGACGTTTCGGGATCAACACACGAACCAGGACCCTCGGGAAGAACACATGAACCTGATCCTTCGGGACCAACACCTCAACCTGACGTTTCGGGATCAACACACGAACCAGGACCCTCGGGAAGAACACATGAACCTGATCCTTCGGGACCAACACCTCAACCTGACGTTTCGGGATCAACACACGAACCAGGACCCTCGGGAAGAACACATGAACCTGATCCTTCGGGACCAACACCTCAACCTGACGTTTCGGGATCAACACACGAACCAGGACCCTCGGGAAGAACACATGAACCTGATCCTTCGGGACCGACTCACGACCCTGAACCTTCGGACCCAACAGGTTACCCTGATCCTACGGGACCAACACGTAGACCTGGTCCTTACCCTGATCCTTCGAAACCAACAGATCAACCTGATCCTCCAGTGCCAACACATCAACCTGATCCTTCGGGACCGACTGTGACCGGATCTGATCACTCTTCGCGAACCGAATCAACTTCTTCTCCAGGTATATGTTTATCCTACACTTTGTAGCATAAAAGGTTTTTTTGCATTCCGTGTCGTTTAGCGCCTATCGCTGCTTTTGCAGCCGATTCTAGCTTTTTTGGGGCTTGTACAACGCAAAAACACATCAACTCAACTCAACTTCCCAATATTTTCCACAGTTTCCTCTTGACTTTTTCTTACAAATTAAGTTTAGATAAGACTGTTTCAAATACGATTGTTCATACTTGTAACATGTCGCTGTTTAGGACTGGAGGACGGACTAAAACTTGTTGTACTCAAGTTTTATAATCCTTATAAGTGGGTGTTTTTGTAAAGCGTAATGCATTATAAAGCGTCAGATTTACGGTGGCCAATAATTGTAACTATGGAAAAAAACGCGTCGCCTACAACGAATATAGAACCTGAATATACGTTAGTCGCCAAATGATGTTCTTCACTCATTTCTCCACCTTGCTTGCTCTCAAGTCTTATATTAGTTGTAGGTGAGCGGTTTTATTCAATACCATACATCACTGTGAAGTTGACGCTTTACAAAAAGGTATGCAGCCTACCGCATCACTTACGTAAAGCATTAAATTAGCATTAAGCATCTTGAGCATCAGCAGCAATCTTAAGCGAGATAGACAATTCCGCACCACAAGTGTAAGGTCTCTGTGCACATACATCATAGGAGGGGGAAGAAAGATGGGAAGGCACACGTCTTATCTCTCTGCTCAACATACTTATACTCTACCTCCCCCCCCCCCCCTCCAAAAATAACTCGATGGATTGAAATTGTGCTGAGATCTATCATGGCATTGCTTAACATGCTTCTAGTAGAACTGAGTGATAGAAGACAAATCTTCGACGAACTTTCATTAGCAACTTGCTTCATCAAAAAACTCAGAATCCTTACAATCCACTTACTTAAGAAACATGCGTAGAATTGCTTTGATAGATTCTCAGTATAAATCTAGGACGTCTGGAGTCTACAGGAAGAGAGACCACTTTGCATACAACGAATAATTCCCTAGTGACCCCCAAAGATCATACAAAACAGTGAAATTTTAGCATTTGGCAACGTCTAAGATCCTATCAGGCTGAAGTCAAGGTTTGAGAGCCTTGATAGCAAACAAGAAAGAATACTGGTACCTAGAGCAGAGATATATAAGTCCCTTCCTGCTCCTCCTCCCCCTCCCCTCCCCCCACCCCTTCCGCCCTTCCCCTTACCAGTGCACATTTCGCATAAGGCCGAGTGACGCTGTGTGCTTCTACCCAATTTTTCACAGCTTTTTGAATGGTATAAAACTTTAGTAGGTGAAGATCCAGCAGTGGAAATGCGGAACGGCATAAAGTAATAGGGCTATCATTCGTGGGATTACTCGAAGGCTGTGAGTGTTTTACAGTAAAATCAAGTTCGTTCTTTCTTAAACATAAGTTGAGAATCATTCACGACGAGTAAAGTACAAGTACTAACATGTCAATAATTTTGCGCAAATTCAACGAAAGTCTGTTAGCGTTCAATTAAACTGCCGAAATAAGGCAACCTTGTGAACATAACTGCATTCTCGACAGATGACTGAAAACAAAGAACTTGCAAAAATTAGCAAGAAGTAGATATAGTACAGTACTGGAGAGAACTACATATGATGCTACTTTAAAAATCGTAATTTGCGTTCCTGTTGATGAACTTATCTGCAGCTTTGCTGTACGGCGCGCATGTTACTTCTTCAAAACGGCCTTCGACTCCGTTGAGATCAAAATGGAGAATGGAAAAGTTCGAAAATTTCTCTACTGGAAGCTAGGCAATATTATAAAACCACTTGCTTCTTCTTTCCAAAATATCACCGCACTCTTGACCCCCATTTTTTATACAGTTAAGTCGTAAAATACGAATATTTGCAGCATCTTCAACCTGTCGCTCTACTCAAAGCACATTTTTTGCTTTCGAAAAGATCAAAATCCGCTTCAAGAAACAGCTGGAGGATTTTTCATCTTGCCCATTTCAATAATCATGCAATTCACTGAGCCTTTTTGATAAATCAAGTAAAAAGTGCTTCTATGACCTCCGTAACGCTAATACTCAGACAGACTCCACCATCAAAGCAGTTTGTCACGCTTGCATCACAAAACTTAGTTTTTAATTTCTCATGAGCTGGACTTGATTTGGTTACATTGTACATGATGATGCAGCTTTTGCAACAACTTTCAGAATTTTTTTAGCGATGCAGTCAATTTGAAGTACTTTTCACGAAAATTTTCTACGAGCAAAAGTTTCGACACAATCAGAAATCTCGCTGATTTCCTCTCTGTTCCTTCCTGTTTCGTTAGTAAGTTTTAAGCGGTTTCCTAACCAATCTCGTTATTTGAGTTGGCGTTGAATGTGCGAGGTGCTCCACACAACAACTTTTACATGTATACCCAAAATCAGCTTTGTTAAAACAGATTGATTTTTGATGCTTTTGAAACCAAAAAATGCAGTAATCTTTTCCCTTCAATCGAGTCGTAGGTTGCTCAAAATATTTTTTTTAGATGTAAGTGCACAAAAAAATTTGAGAAACAAAAATGCGCTTTCATTCGAAGGAATCAGGTGGCTTTATACTGTTCAGCCTTCAGTACGAGCTTTTTCGTACTTCTCTACTTTCCTCCATTCAAACAAAACGGAAATGAAACCCGCGTTGAAAAGTCATGGCAGTCCATGTGCACTATACAGCAGAGCTACAGACGGGTCCGTCAATAAGAAGCAAATTACGATAATTTCAGAGTGGCTTTATTATTGTTCAGCACTGCATTCCAACCTGTAATCGCACCCTTAAAAGATAAGCTGTCCCAATGTGCAGAGTCTGCAAAAGAAGCGGAAGTTGGCGCAAAAGCGGCTAGCGGCTGCAAATCAAGACGTTCCACTTTTCCTTATGAACGTGACATTTTTCGGCCTATATTCATGGTTCACAAAACCACAACTTTTGAATCAAAGCTATAATTTTCCGAAGAGAGGCTCAAAGCCGAAAACATAGTCAAATTTAGAAAGAAATAGATTGTAGAAAAATGAGTCTCTTGCTGAAAAAGTGCTTTGATTTGAGCAAGCGAAATGATATTTGTCTTTCAGTGTTTATATTTTCAATTGCACATACGGTGCTGATTATTAGATGGATTCAAACACATAGAACAAAAGTCGCCAAAAGGCGCTAACAGCAGTGTGCCACAAAAAATTATCATGATTTCATCATTTGACACATAAAGACTACTGCATGCATACGTGCAATACCTTTGAGCGCGATCGCGGCTTTATTAGCCGCAGAGCGCAGGATTTACAACGGATACATGCGCGTCGCGTTCGCTCCCGCCCAACTAATACTACTTCTGCGCCTTCGTCATGTAGAACTGTAGAAGCCTTTACAACAGAAATAATTATTATTATTACATATCGTATTTATATGTTCCTGCCATATGCTGAAACTTAATGTTGAACAGGAGACATTGAGCTGATCCAGAAATTCTTGGAACTATTTGAGCTAGGATTGAATTAGCGGCTGTCAGGCTAACAGACTTTGAATTTCTGCTTGTTTTTGAGTAGGTAAACATAAGGACGACTTTATTGATATACCAAACAATAGGTTCAGCTGAATCTTTGCATAACAGGTTGTCTGTTATATGCGTAATGAGCGCTGTTATGAGATAATATTGTTTTAGACAATTGTCCGCATGCTAGTGAGTAGCATATTACTTGTCTCAAAAAGCCACATTGAACAAGCCTCAGCGCGGGTTTTTCTGCTTTGTACGAGAAAAAACTCATTAGATAAACAATCTCAGTTTTCGTACATGTCATCTCAATGGCTTTTTTGATTAACTTTTTGAATATTCTGAGATGGAAATCAATAGGTTTGACAGAATGACATGAGATAGAAATATTTTGCTATCAAATAACAACAATATTTTTATTGCTCCGGGTACGACGTTCACTTGAACTGTCACTTATCATTAAACACTGTCACTTAAGCATCAGAAGCACAGCTACGATTAGGGGAATGCAAAAACATGTGAATAAATCTACTAAACACTCAACAACTGCAGAATCAACGTCATTCACTGCAACTGCCAGAACCGTTGTCACCGATTCTACAAGGGACTTTACAGCTACAGGCCGAAGACTCACTGAAGCGCCGAGAACTGTTGTAACTGATCTTACGAGGGATCCTTCAGCTACACAAACATCCACTGAAACGCCTGGAACTACTGTGACCGACCCTACTAGGAACTCTTCAGTTACGGGCCAAACATTCACCATAATGCCAAAAACAGTTGTGACCCATTCCACGAAGGATTCCTCAGCCACAAGCCGAACATTCACTGAAACGCCGGGAACAGTTGTGAGTGATCCTACCAAGGACTTTTCCACTGAAAGACCAACTTCAAACACCAAAACTACAGGAACAATTGTAACTGATTTTTCAAAGGATTCCTCAGTTACAGGCCGAAAATTTACTGAAACGCCAGGAACAGTTGTGACGGATTTTACCAAAGACCCTTCAGCTACAGGCCAAACATCCACTGAAATGCCGGGATCTACTGTGACCAAGTCTACTAGGAACTCTTCAGTTACGGGCCAAACATTCACTATAATGCCAAAAACAGTTGTGACCGATTCCACAAAGGATTCCTCAGCCACAAGCCGAACATTCACGGAAACGCCGGGAACAGTTGTGAGCGATTCTACCAGGGACTTTTCCACTAATGGACCAACATCAAACACCGACACTATAGGAACGCTTGTGACTGACCCCAGAAAGGATTCCTCAGCCACAAGCCGAACATTCACGGAAACGCCGGGAACAGTTGTGAGCGATTCTACCAGGGACTTTTCCACTAATGGACCAACATCAAACACCGACACTATAGGAACGCTTGTGACTGACCCTACAAAGGATTCCTCGGCTACAGGCCGAAAGTCCACTGAAACGCCGAGAACAGTTGTGACCGATTTCACCAAAGACTCTTCAGCTACAGGATCAACACTTTCTACTG